TCCTGATAATAATGAATTACAGTCGTCCAGCCTGGAAGTAATAAATGCATGAACTAGTTTTTCAGCGTCACTCTGAGACAAATTGTATCTGTTTAATAGATCAGATTGGATGACTGCAGAACTGTTTACAGAACTTGGCAAAGTCATTCAGTACTGTCTCAGTTTTGTCTTCATCTGTATGCTCTGCCACTTTATGATACATACTATTGATTTAGGATATTTGCAGCGCTCCTTCACAGGCTGTCAACTTGACAATCAAACTGGAAAGAAAATACCATTATAGCACTTTCTGTTCCACATGTGCAGAATAAGTACATTTTTCCATCTACCAAAATGAAAAGTATAACGAGTTTGCTGAACAGTTTGTGGTGCTCTTTACCTGGTAGTTAGTAGATCACAGATAGCAGGTTCACAAACAGCTGGTGTTGAGTGTGGGGGGTTTGATGTGGTTCTGGGTGTTGGTGGGGTTGTGGGGACAACACAGGGTGTATGTGGGACCTGCCACTCGCCTGCAGTGTCTGAGCAGCTTCCCACCTGGCCATTTGGAGAACGGCATTCATTGCTCTGGGAGTTGTCACAGGTACCTAGTGAAGGAAAAGCAGCAGCATGAAGCCTGAACAACAGCCTAAGAAAGAAACTTATTATACGATCAATATCAAAGTTATGTAGGCATACCAGCATTCTTACATACTTCTTTTTCTTATCTAAGCTTCACTCTAATTCAACTTACAGTTTGTTCAAGACATGTACAGATATTTCTTTAAATGGGAAATTAGTTAAAATCTCAGGACAAACATAATTTTAGCAGCAATCAAAATGTTTTACACCCACTACAGATCAAACATTTAGAACACCCCAATTTCTCCAGTTTTTTATTGAGAATTATGCAGTTTAATGTCTCACTGCACTCTGAAATTAAAGCCTAGTACAAAATGACCAAAGTGTACTCTAAACTTTTGACTCATCAAAGTAGCCACCTTTGGCAGATATAACAGCTGGACACCCCTGTGGCTTCTTTTTACAACAGAAATCAAATATTGTTCAGGACGTTCTTCCCACATCTGTTGCAGAAGTTCCCATAAACGAGGCACTGGGAGGTTGCTTTGCTTTCTCTCTTCTGTCCAGTTCATCCCAAACCAGCTCGATGGGGTTTAAGTCTGGAGACTGTGGTGTATGCTCAACAGCATACAAAGATCCTGCATGATGAACCAAAGATTTCAAATTTTGATTCATCAGTCTAAAATACCTTCTTGCAGTCTTCAGTAGTCCAACAGCAGCTTTTAATGGCCCAGGCAGGCCTCTTTGTCTTATTCTGGCATCTTAGCGATGGCTTTCTTGCTGCAAACTCAAAGTCTTCTCTTACCACGACCACTATTAGCTGTGCTTGAAGCTGTTGTCCTGGGAGCCGCCGATCACACAAGCTGTTAACTCTCCGAAACTCTGATTCATTTGTGGCTTTGGGTCTGCAGACCTCTTCCTGCCAGAGTTTGTTTCTGAGTGCCTTTTGATGGTGAAGGAAACTGTACTCACTGACACCTTGACATTCTTCCTAATTTCTCTGTAGATAAAAGACCTAACCTTTT